ATACAGATGATCGCAGGTGATATATCACTAAGCTCAACCGATAAATCTTCACAGATCCGTTTAGGACTAGCCGCCATCAATGAATTTCCCTCAAGGGATTCTTCTTTTATAGAACTTTAGGGTTTACGATGCTCTTTAATAGAATATTTTATTGTAGATATACGCCCTGCTAAATAATCAATTTGAGATCATAAAATAGCAGAAATCGAAAATCATATCGTTTCATATCAAAATTATAACCATTCAAAAAAAAAAAAAAATTCAACTAATTTTATTGCTATGAAATGTGAAGTCATTGCGAGCAGAGGAGAGACATGTATGACACGTTAGCCACCTTGGCACAACACTGAAAATAATGTCCATCCCAAAGCCAAACACGTTATAAAATCACGAGAGACTTGGAAATTCATTTTAAAGAATTGAGGATGTATTAAATAGTGACCTGTTGCTTCGATTTCCAAATTGAGTGAGTGTGCTAAGAATTATCGAAAACAAAGGCAAAGCTTTATAATACCCTTGAACCATTCGATTTTAGCTTTAAGGCTTTACTTTTACTTTAGCTTTTCTCTTACTTCTATTAATATACTCTTGCCATGGAGCGAAAATCAAATCCATAATGCTTGAGCTAGTCGAATTATCACTCATTTATCTCGCTAATTCCTCTGATTGAATGTAAAATTCGAGTTAAAATTATTTTTATAATTTTTTTAAAACTCCAAAAATCTGCAATTCTAAAAAATTCCCCTAGTAAACAGTAAAAAAAAGAAAAAATTAGGAAGTCGAGGTAAATTCAATGAAAATTGAACAGTTGAACTATTGAAATACTTCCTGAAAAAAAAAGAATCGATTGATAAGATAACAAATGATAGCTACAAAAATACAAAACTGGAAAGTTTCAAGCAAATTTCATTTCATAAAATTTTTTAATTTTTTCATTTTTTTATAAATGTTAATCGTTCACCAGAAAAATCAAAAATTTTCTAAAAATCAAATTCTTAAAAATCAACAAAAAAAAAGAATTTTTGAAATATTTTTTAAAATCATTTAAATAAGCAAAAATTATAAAAATAATTTATTTTTAAAAAAATTAGAAATCGGAACGATGCGATTATTATTCGGGAATGCAAAAAATTTTTTATATCTTTCTTTACAGACTATTACTCTAAAACTCTTCAAATAAATAAATTTATAGAATAAGAAAATATTTGAAAAAATTTTCTCAAAAAATCGAAATTTTGTTAAAAAGAATTTCGTTTAAATATTTGATATGAAAATTAAATTAATAATATTAAATATTTAAATATTATTTTAAATAATAATAAAGATCAATAAAGATTCAATCATAAAATATTTGCATATTTACAAAATTTTAAATTTAAACTTCCAAATTTAAATTTTAATGGAAATAATGGAAATATTTATTTATAAAATATTAATAAAATATATTTATAAAATACATATTTATAAAATATTAATAAAATATGAAAATTTATTTATATTATATTGCTGTAATTATTCGTAGAAATTGACAATCGCTGTGGAACAAATTGAAATGTTCTTCAATGCCTCTCAGCCCTATCAGATATCGTTTCTTAATGAGGAAGTAGCATAGCCAGTAGAGAGAACGAAGAAATGCGAAAGAATTTCAAAATTTTGAGAAATTTTGAGAAAATGAATTCCATATTAGAAATTCATAAGTACCATTTCAACGATGCAGATGCCTGAAAAAATGCAAGTACCAATTTTCAATAATATTTTTCTTCTAAATTTTGCAAAATCTTTTGCAAAAAAATCATTTTTTTCATAATTTCCAAGAAAAAATACAATAAATATAGAAATTTAAAGGAAATACCAAACGAACGAATTGCTACTCACTGTTAAAGAATTAATCGATGCTGATTGACCGTGAAAAATATTTTTTTTTTCAATAATAATCGTCCTCATGATTTCGCAAAAAAAATCAAGCAAAAATCTTTTTTAAAAAAAGTCAACAATCAAGTAAGAAAAATTTTTTTATAAAAATTAAAAATTCCAAGTTAAATTTTTCTTAAATTTCATAAATTATATTATATATATATATTAATATATTAATTATAATATTAATTATATATTAATTATATATATTAATATTTTTATTAATATTAATATTTTTAATATTTTTATTAATATTTTTATTTAATATTTTATATTTTAATATTTTCAGCAAAAATTTATATTATAATATTAATTATTGAAAATTAAATAGGTATTGAGCTATTATCCATTTCATTATTTTTGTTTTGATAAATTTCATTAAATACGAAAAAAATAGATTTCATTGGCCAATTCGAATATACTATGCGACAGTGATAAGATTATAAATTTACTGCTGAATAGAAGCCAAGTTCATCACAATTTTATTGGCTATTCGAATAATATTGTTACGCATTAATGATAATGATATTGATAATTTTTCCAAGCGTCACAAAGTTATTCGTACAACATTATTATGGAGTAGTGATGAGATTGACAATTTGTCAAACAGAGGCCAAGTGTCAAGTTAATTCATTAGCATTCCGAACAATACTATTGTACCTTAATGATAACATTGATAATTTGTTAAATAACATGTGGCGATAATGATAATATTGTTTCCTAAATGAAGGCCAAGTATTGCGAATTCATTGGCCTTCCGAATAATATCATTAAGCGATAATGACTATATTTATCATTTATTTGTAGTGAAACCTTAAATTAGATTATTTATTTATTTAAATCTATATTATTAATTTAAAATTAAAAAAAAAGAAATAAAATAAGAGAGTAAAATGATCGACGATGTGATGGAATTGTATTTTTTTTTCATAGTGGCGATTGTAACGATTAAATAAATGATGTGGAAAATATCCGAAATGAACGAAAAAATTTTTATAGATGATTAAAAAAAAATTTGAAATAATTAGAGAAAAATAGTTTTTTTTCACACCCAATGAATGAATGAGTTTATTGAATAATTATTGAAAAAATTTTCGTAGAAAAAAAAAAATTTCTATAGAATTCTTTTGTTGAAAAATAAGTAATTAGGAAAATCAAACATCTTTATGGCACAAAAAAAAAATGAAAATAAAATTTAGGACAAAATTTAGATTTAAATTTTTTAATTCAAAAATTAATCATGAAAAAAAAATAAATTTTAAGGATAAAAAATCTCCATGAATAAAAGTAAATAATTTAATTAATTCGTTAATTTTTTTTGCAAAAAATTTATGCAAATATTTTCGATAAACCAGTTTTCAACTAAAATACTTAAGATTATCTAAAAGGTATTTTAAAAGAATTCACCATTACTTAACTCGTTTCAATTTATATTCTTTCTCAAATAACAAAAATTTTATTATAGTTATTTTATTTGTAGAATAAATTCTAAATTTTTATGCTGATGCTGGATTAAGAAAATAATTTATTTTAAAATAAATAATACAGTAAAAAAAAGCAATTTATCACTTATCATTTATCAATAATTATTTATCTTATCTATTACATGTTTAGCGTAGACGACTCTGGAAACTATCACATGCTTCGTTCTACCATTAATTTTTTTCAAATTTTTCAATTAATTGTTTTCCAAAAAGGAAGAGAAAAATTTTAGCAAATAAAACTGAAAAAATCAGCCAAGCATTTATGGAAATCGAATCAAACAAAGAAATTGTAAATGAAGATGAGCAGATGATGAGTTTTTTATTTGTGGAACGATGGCTACCGCTGTGCGTTTTAATAATGAGGTGTCAGGATCCCTAAAAAAAATCTTATTTTACTCGTTTTTCAATTTTTCAATTTAAATAATGGCATCTATTTAAATATTTGATAAATATTTTTCAATGATATTTATTTTATCCTAATAAATCAAGGTGATGCTGGCGACTCATCTGTATTTCTATCGCCAAGGGGCTCCTTAGTATTTCGCCCAATGCGACAAGCCAGTGGAGCGAGTTTAACCAGTAATGCTGTGAGCTCTTAAAAGAAGAAGAAAAGAATAAACCATGAATAATTTGATCGAATAAAATAAATTATGTGGATATTGTTGTATAGAAAAGTTTGGAATCTGGCATCCTCTAGGGCTCATTAGGAAATTTAAGTAGCCTACTAGTATTTCTATCAAAAAATAATTCTTAGCAAAAATAAATAATCATACTGGAAATCAATAGAAATCATAACCAGAAATATTGAGAGTTTTTACTAATAAAATTGTGACTTCCTAGCTGAAATTAACAAATAACTAAATCTGTATGTGTTGATTAATATGGAGCAGTTGCTGATAACTTTATTATAATAAGGCCATTTCATGTTCTTTATGGTTCATTGAGATCAAACCGTTTGATCATGCTTATTTTATAACGCTCGGTTTTTCCGTATAATTCATTAAATACTATTGAATTTGGCTGTGATTGGTTAATGAGCATAATGAGCATAATTAGTAATATTATTATTATCATTATTTTTTTTTATTATGATTATTATGATTTTTTTTTTTTTAGTTTTTCTATATCTAAAATTTTATCAAATATTATCACAATTATCATAAGCTATGTTCATATTATTCATTCCAATATTCACCTAACCATGTATTTTTGTATTTTTGCTTCATTAATACTACACCATTAAGCTTTCAATATTCCTAAAACTGAAATCTATTTTAATATTAAGAAATTTTAAATTTACGAAAATTAAAAAATTTCATAAAACTTTTATTCGATTTCTATCTTAAATTTCCATTCTAAGAAATTCAACAAAAAATGATAATTTTTTATAATTCTCATTATCATTATCAAAATTTATTATTTGCACAATAAATAATAATAAAAATGAAATAAATTCAACAAATTTAAGAAAAAAGGAAAAGAATTTTTAGAAAGATTTATATATGTATATGTGAAATATCATCGAATTTTTTATTTCGATATTTTTATTATTTATTTCGATGATTATTAATTGTTGATTTATTATGATAATAATGGTGACAGCTAACACCAATTCGTATGGCGGCATATTTCCGTTTCTACAGGATAGCTCCGATCAAAAAATCGGCCATTCACAAACATTGTCGGCCAAATTCGAATATCTTAAAAAAAAAAATTTCATCTTTTGGAAAATATTTAAATATTTTTTAGAAATTTTTCGAAGATTTATATCAATAGCGAAAGAATTCTTACGACCGTTATATAAGATGGATTTAATCTAGTGCTCACAAAAATATTCATGGCTAATTTTACTTCTCACTATGAAATCATTACGAGAAGCTCCAAATTATCGTTTCTGGTTTGTCCGGTGCTTTTGACTATTAAGAAAAAAAACCAGAGGATCGCTCGATGATAAATTCTCTCCTAAATAACGGTCGGATTTATCCTATCATGGTGCGGATTCATGCTGTTTCACCTACACTTAAAACATTCATGCCCATCACCTTTGATTTAATATGGTAGAAAAGGTAAAAGATAAAAAGTTTTTAGCGTATTCTGAATAAACTGCATTTCACCTGCTGCATGAGTATAAAGCATTGAATAGTAATTTAATAGTTCTCCTTCTTGGGTGCTTGCACATTCAATCAGCCGCTTTTGGGTTTCAGGTTTAAATGGTGGAAGACAAACTGCAAACGCTTCTTTCAGTGTGTTTAGCCCTTGAGCACAAGCCAATAAACCCAAATAATTGCGTGGGAAAAGCTGAAAAATGCCAATTCACAGACGAAAATAATAGTCTTAAAACTCTTCCTTTCTTTTCGTTTTTCTTTAAGATGATTTCATTAAATAGAAAATTTCCAAGTTTAGAAATTCAGATAAAATTTTTGAAAATTTATAAAAGAAGATAAAATAAAAAATGATAAATGATAATTACAGCAATTGCACAATTCTGCAAACGATTCAAATCGCATTCATTTGGACCATGCATGCAATGACAATGGAATGTTTTTTGGGGATAAAAATCACAGGAACCTTTTCCGAACGGTATAATCTGAAATTGAATAAACAATAGATAAAAAATGTGGAATGAAAAAAATTTTTTATTTTTTTCTTAGAAAAATAAATTTTTCGAATCCTCGCTATTATGGTTAAATGCGCTTCACTGGCCATAGACAAATTTGCCAGAGAGTTTATTAGCGAAAGAATTTTAGGTGAGTTGCTAGCATAATCCGACAAAAATAAATTGGAGAGATTGTAAATTTTCTCTTTTATCTCTTTTTTTTTATGAAAATAAAAAATGAAGTGCAATTTTTCTTAGCGCTAGAATTAAATATTTCTCAAAAATATTTCCCAAAGAATTCAACGAATTTTATCATTATCAAACAGTTGTTACTTGTTATTTTTTATAACTCACAGCTTTAATGGATTTAAAGCTTCAAGAAATTGCAATATTTTTACTTATTTTCAACATGCTAATTGCAAACGTTAGTAAAATAATATTGCAGGTTGAGCGGTTGTTGCCCACATTTTAGAACACCTATGCTGAGTTATTAAGGCTAATAGGAATAATTTATTTATCAAAAATCCAAGTGATACCAGTGATTCATCTATATTTCAAGCAAAATTCTTTGCAAAATTCTGCTAATCCAACAGTATAGCGAAGCCAGACGAATTAGGAATGGTTAGCACTTTCCATTTAATAAATACTTATTAATTACTTAATTACTTAAGTTAATTACTTATTAACTGCTGGAATTTCAAGTTCTCATTGTTAGATGTGTCATTATTTTTTATTCAAAAATTATTAAAAAATTTAAAATTTTATAATTGGATTCTTTTTTTTCATTTTAGTATGGCCAAATAATTTTTAAAAAAATAAAAAAATAAATTATAAATAATAATAAATAAAAAATTTTAAAAAAAATAACAAATAACCTTAAATTATTACTGATTTTTAAATACAAACTATAGCACAATCTTTCAATTTTTTTTATTTATTTATTTAATATTTATTGAATATTATTTATTAATTTAGAATTTATTGAAATTGAAAATTAGTTAATTGTTCATCGAATGAAAAACAAAATTTGGAATTTTAGTAAAAACTATGAGGCGAATAATTATTTGAAGCCCACAATGTTCGTATAATAAATCATTGGCTTCTTTTAGGAAAAATTTTATTCAGCTAAATTCTACGTTCAAAAATTTCACCTGAAGATTCATAATTCCAGGCCGATTTAAACTAAACGGCCATATTTGTTCATGTAATAACGATGTACAATATTTGCATTGCGATTCAGTAAAAATTGTTACATTAACAATTTGACAATCGATAAGAGAATATACAAATAATAATTGCAATAATACATTTGCAATAAACATTGAACTTTGACACTAAAATAAACTAAAATAATCTAAAAATTATAAGTTTTTATAAATTTTGTAAAGCGCTCTTATAAATTTATAATTTACTTTTCTTTATAGCTTAAAAATATTTAGTGTCTATGAAACTAAGTAATTTGTCTTTTTCTCGATTTTCAATTTCTATTTTTTTGGAGAAATTTAGACTTTAAAGAAACCATAGACAATAGGAATATGACGCACAATATTTATGTACAGTAATAATAACTGATAAGACTATGATAAAAGTTAATATTCTATTGCCTATCTAAAAAAATATTCTAAATTAGATTCATTTATTTCAAATTCAAATATTCTAAATAGAAAATAAATAAATAAATAAATATTCAAAATTTTTTTTTCTTGTATTGATTCTCTACAAAAAAAGCATCTTTTTTCAGGTGAATCTCCTTTCCCCCTAAAAATTTTTTATTTTTATTCCGAGAATCTGCATTTCATATCGAATGATTCCGAAATATTTTCCGGAATTTACTGGATTTTCTTCTGAAAAGCTTTCATTTCTTAAAATTTATACAATTTTTTAAAAGAAAAAAAGATAATTATCCACCCATGGATGCCTCGAGTTTATCAATTTTTTTAAGATTCGTATGGAGGCCTTAAATATTCAGTGGTTTAGGATCGATCCTATTGAAAATTATTTTGGAAAACAAGACGAGATTGTTCTATAGAAAGCAGCAAAATATAAACTTTTTTGAATAAAAAATAAGTAATAAAATTAGAAATTTTAGTTTTTGATTTAGTTTCAATTTAGTTTTTTGAGGTTAAAAAATATTTTAGTTTGACATAAACTGGAACTAAAGAACTTTATGAACAAACTGAAAATGTCTTTTAAAAGATTTTTGCAGCTGAAATGCAAATAAAATGAGCTTTTTAACGAGGATTTCTTTAGGAAACTAACAATTTTGTTTCTAATTTATTATGAATAAATTTTTGTGATTTAAAAGTAATTTTTTCACCTGAAATTGACAAACTAATCGCATTTTAAGGCAGAAACGTTCTCGTCAGTTCGGCTCAATGGGTTGTTGTTCTCATTTCGAAGTGCCCATGCTGTGGTTCCAGTTTATGTCAAACTCTCGCTAGTTGGAATAAGAAAAACCTATATTCTCTAGAGAATCCTGAAGTGGTACTACGCCTATCGATACCATTTATCATCAAATGAATGCCTAACAAGATTCACTTGATTCATGAAGTTTAAAGGAAATGATTCTTTTAATATCCATTTCTTTAAAAAAAATTCTCCATTGAATCTTTTCATTCTGGTGTGCAATTTAATAAAAAATATAAAAAGGTCCATTTTTTGGCCAAATTTTATAAAAGACATTCGCAAACTATTGAAAATCATTGAAAGGACAATATTCACCATTTCAATTAACTAATGTATGTAAGTTTATGAAAGTTTTGTGGCAAAAAGTCCAAAAATAGGACAAAAATGCCGATGAAAACCAGTGGCTGCTTTAAATTTACTTCATTAATGATCCTTGCCATGTATTTAGAGACCAGTCTCTTCGCATTACTATTGTATTTGTCTCATTATGGTTGGTTTTTGAATATATCGCAAATTTTATTTTGGAATAAATCGAACAAATTCAAAGGATTAAAAAAAAAAGAAGTTGAACTTTTCAGAATTTTTAAAATTGGAAAAAAAAGATTTTATTAAATTTGCTGAGAATTCCTCTAAAATAATAAAATTTAAATTAAAAATTAAAATTATAAAGTAAGAAATTTTAGAAATTTTTTATAAAATTTTCTTCTTTTTTTTGTTAGAAAAAACTTGTGGTTTTCTGGTTTTTCTAAAACGAAAAATTTTAATTTTCGGTCTTTTTTCAATATTTTTCGACGAAAAGAAAAAATGGAAATTTTCAAAGTCTCAAAAAAATAACACTGAATTTTCCTAATATGGAAATTTAATCTAAAAAATAAATTAAAAAATTCAAAAAGTAAAGTAATATTAAATAAATATCGAATTTCTAGAAATGAATTTTTTTTTAAGAGCTCTCACAATTATTGGTTATACTCGCTCCGTTGGCTTATCGTACTAGATAGATATACTGGAATCCCTTGACAATAAGAAGTGCAGGTGAGTCGCCAGCATCACCTGGATTTTTGGGTTTATCCCTGTGCGGAATAGGACCTTAGCATCGGCTGCATTCGAAAACGAGCAACAATCTACTAAGTCATTCTATGCTCTTGTAGCCCTCTAAAATCTCAAATCCTTATTTTGGCCAAAAGTTTTATTCCAAAAAATTGGCAGTGAAATGGTTTCAAAAAAAAAGACTGCCATCGTTTAAAAAATGCTTCAAATAAAACTCTAAAAATAGTGTAATTCAAATTTTTTCGATTTTTTAATTAGTTGAATTTGTTGTGAAATTAGAAAAAATTCACATGTACTGAGCTAATAAAGAGAATTTTATCTAAAATCTTTTCTATATAAATGATCCAATTTTAATTTGTTTTTTCAACAAATGAATTAAAAAAGTTTAGAGATTTTGAACAATAAAAATAAAATAGTAATCTCTACGAGATATTCTTGAAATCCAGAAATTTTCAGCTTGTATTGCTTGTATTGTTATTGCTTGTATTGTTGTTCGCTTGAAAGAAAATAAGCAGATGGTTAATTCCTTTCATTTTTGATTAGGCTCGCTCCTTAGAAATATTTTTACCAGCTAGTGGAAATACAGATGGGTAGTAAGGATTTTTTAATGATGGGTTTATTCCTGTCGAAGACAGAATCCGAATATTTGCCGCAAGCGATAATGAACCACTTATTTATCTTATATTTTTAGTTAATCATACAATAATCCAAAAATGTGGGGATAGAATGGCTCGGTGAGTTGTTGCTCAATTGGGAGCTCTGACGCTAAGGTTTTACCGTTGTACCAAAAATCCAGGTGATTTACCTGGCGACCCAAGCATTTCTATTGTCAAGTGAGCACATTTGTCTAGTGCGACAAGCTAACGGTACAAATTTAATCAGTAATGGTGAGATCTCCCAAAAAAAAGAGGAAAAAATTTCAAAAATATAAAAATAGAAAATGATTAGTAAAATAATAAAAAGATTAATTATATTTTATATTTTAATCTATTTATCTAATATTTTGATTTAAAATTAATTTTCTTATTAGTTTTCGAAATTAAAAATTTAGGGCAGCTAAGAATTTTTCAAAAATTTTTTCAACCAAAAATAATTTTTGAGAATCGAGATATAGGAAAATATTCTATAGGGAATATTTTAAATAATTGAATGAATAAATAATAAAAAAATTTTTAAAAATTTTAAAAATTTTTTTTTATTTTAAATAATAAAACTTAATAAACTTCTTAATTCTCAAAGAAACAATTCGTTTTGATGAAAATCTATGAATAAAATTTTAGTAAAAATTTTTATTCTTTCAAATATCGGGCAGCTAATAAAGGATAGAATATGATAAGAAACCAGTTTAGTAGACCACTTTAGAATTAAATTCGAAAAACTTGTTGAGATTAAGTTGGATTGATTGATAATGTAACTTAAAATTTAAAAAAAAAAACTTTTTAAAAAATCATAATGTGCGAATTTAATGCAAAATTCTCGTTCTTCTATGCTTTTAATTTATAGAATTTGTCGAAATTTAAAGATTTAATTAATTGATAATTAATAATCTTTTTATTATTATTTGTGAATATTGCGCTATAATTTGAGGCGAAAACTATCGCTTTTATCGAGTTGAGTTTTATGGCCTAACTTATCGTTTTTTATTCAATCTCTGAGGCCTGGTTTACCATTTTTATATTTTTCTGAGGTTTTTTACACATATTATTAAATATTATAGTATTATGTTCATTTGGAAACAGGATAGCCAACTAGTTTATTGCTATTCATATTATCGTCGTGAAGGTAAGAATTTTTTTCCAATATATTAGAATAAAGTTATAATGAGGATATTAGGATATGTTGCTGACAAAAAAAAAACCAAATGTAGTAAATTTTTTCAGCATTGCCAGAATCAATTTTATTTGCTATCATAGAAAAATTCTGAAAATTAAAAAATTATTTTTCTTTTATATATTTTATGAAAATATCAAATATTCAATCAAGCAGAAATATTTTCGTGATAATCTAAACCTAAAACTGATAAGATAAAACTGATAGAACTTGTCACATGAATAATTTTCAACAATTGTCCGAATCCGAAAAAAAAATAATAAATAAATCGAAATAATCTAATTCGTATATCTATCTATTTTATCATATGTGATATGTGGTTTTATTCGTAAAACCAGTAATAAAATTTTCTTTTATAAATTTTTTTCATTTTCTTTCTTAAAAGAATAATTGATATAAGCGAATGAATTGATGAATGCCATGTGCAATTTTCAAATTAAATATTTTGTTACATTTTTAAACAATTCAATTAGAAAAGATTTAATCGTAATTAATTGTGATTGCCTCTCAATGATTGACACCTTGTGGATTTTCTTTTTTTAATTAAATTTATTTATTTATTAAAATTTAAAATTTATTAAAATTAAATTGTTGCAAAATAAGCTAAGCACGTAACTTCGCCATTTAGTATCATTAATTAGTGGAATAAGCGGTGCAACAATTTATTGTATAAATAATTCTTGGCTATTTTTTTATTTTTCTTATTTTTTTTAGCCAAATTTCTTGTTTATTTATTTCATTTCTTCGATTTAAACATTTCATTTTTAAATATAAATCAAATAATTGCCAAATTTTTGTTGCTTTTTATATAAAATATTTAAACAATTTTTTTCCAATGAAAATTAGTCATTTAAAAGAATTTCGTGTTTAATTTCGTGTCAATAAAATAAAATATTTTTCAATAAAAAATCAACAAAAAAAAAAAATCAACAAATTCGATCTTAAATCAAACAATTAAACTTGTTTACTATAGGTTTAATTAACTAAATTATCGCAATAATAATAATAATAATAATAATAATAATAATAATAATAATAA